AACTCATATACTGTAATGCAAACTTCTGGACATTAATCTTTGTCTTTACCCACTTACAAATTTGAAATAAGTTTGAAAACGGTTTAAACAAACGTTTATTTTATCAACAATCATGTTCTTTTATAAACATTCCTTTTAACTGACTATTCTGGCTTGAAATTTCTTACTCGGGGGTTTTGGGGGTCGCTGAGTTCGAATCTACTGACAAAATTTAGATTTTATCAAATCCAAGATGGCAAATTCAAGATGGCGGATGAAAATAGAAATAGCACATTTTTGGCTGGAAATCAGTACTCGGGAGTTTTAGGGGTCACTGAGTTCGAATCTACTGCCAAAATTTAGATTTTTTTAAATCCAAGATGGCGAATTAAAGATGGCGGATGAAAATAGAAATCGCACATTTTTGGCTGGAAATCAGTACCCGGGGGTTTTGGGGGTCACTGAGTTCGAATCTACTGACAAAATTTAGATTTTCTCAAATCTAAAATGGCATTGCCATTAAACTTTCAACCTTTAAGTGAGAGGCAAGGGGACTCACGTTAATAAAGCACCCCAATCGTGAGAGGCAAGGGGATTTACGCTAATCAAGCACCCCAAAGGAAACAGATCTTACTACGTCCACGTCGTTGTTTCTGGGTAACGCAAAGAGTAAGAATAAGGACGATAGTAAGGTCATAATTTTAAAAAATGCTGTCTGAATGAAAAATTTCCCCCTCTATCGATTGCTGGTACTAAAACTGGGATTTCCAATCAAAAAAACTAGTTGACCTTGAAATGACCTTAAATGTCAAGTGGAGATTGAACGGTTGAGGGTAAATGACCTTGGAGTAAACCCCAATGTCAAACTTTTTCTGCGACCTAAGTACATACTTGAGCGTAATATTTCCCGCTCTATAGATTTTCGGTGTCAAAAATAAGGGTTCCTATTAAAAAAAAAGTTAACCTTCAAATAACCTGTAAGGTCAAGTCCAAGGTCAAATTGAAGGTCACAATTGGATTCCTTCTTCGACACATCGATACGTAAAACTTGGGGCTCCTTTCGAATCCGCTATCAAAAACAGGGGTTTCCATTAGAAAAAATGAGGTTGACCTTCAAATGACCTTAAAAATGAGGTTCAAGGTCAAATTCGAAGTCACCGTTGAGTTCCTCGTTAAGACTTACCAATGGTATGACCTTTATTTGTTTTTTTACCTCTGAACTCGCGAAATTTTTAAGAATTCATTATTTGACCTCTATTTGACCTCTAGGAGTAACCTCAACCTCAAACCTCAATACATATCCGGATGTAAAATTTCCCGCTCTTTCCGATTCCGCAATAAAAAATAGGGGTTCCTATTTAAAAAAATGCGGTTGACCTCAAAATAACCTCAAAATTGATGTTCAAGGTCAAATCCAAGGTCACCATCGGATTCCTTGTTCAAAGTTACTGTAGGAATGACCTTGACCTTTTTCAGAACTGAAGTACTTCAGAAAATATTCAGGCGTCCCGGGACTTAATTGACACCCTGTATATATATATAAACCTATCTAATGTACCGGTTTAAGTTCATTTAAGTAAACCGGCGAAGCCCCCTCCCTTTTTCCTTCCCGATTACTGCCGCCTACCCCTCGCAGGGACGAACTTCGGATATTATCGACAAAGACGCGATCCATTCGCTGACACGGTCGGGGTACCGTACTGAAGGTCTAGTCCGCCCGAGTCAGGACCACTCGGAGCTAAAAACGGTCTAACACGTGCTCGTTTTGAAGAGACATCAAAACTGTCACGTAACATTTTTACACAAAATTTGATGCAAATCCTTTGATCCATATTTTTCGATAGCAAAAAATCGCCGAGCACGCAAAATACTTATAACGTTTACGCATCTCACAACCAAACAAAAATGCTATACACTTGAAACTTGGTACAGATGTTCGGGAAGAGTGTACCAACATAACGAAAAAAAAAAAATCGATAATCGAAAGCACGTTGCCCGTGAAATTTGAAAAGTCACCTCACTTTTTGAACACACCTCGTACATATACACAGGCATGCATTTTTTCAAAATCTAACGGCATAGATCGAAAGTTCAGACAATTTTACGTTAGAAATGTCTATTCCTGATTTCTGTCCCTAATAAAAGATCAATTGAAAATAGTAAAAAAATCGTTCACTTAGGACTTAATGGGTTAATGGATTTTCGAATTTTGAGAAATTCATAAATATCCATGAGCTAGACTATTACTTCACTGAATCACTGCAACACGTTGAACTCATCAATCTGTTTACATCAATTAGCATATCAAACGGCGTCACCTCACCTATTATTTAATTGTCTTAGTACAAGAGTCTAATTTCATGACCATATAAGGAGCGTGACGTCACAGACTTATAGATCTAGATATAATAGTTTTTGCTATTTGAATAAAATATGTTAATTAAAAGTAATTCTGTTGAACGAAAGCATTTTTTATATAGATTTTAGTACATACATTTAGATTATAATAATTTCAATTGCGTTTAATTATTAAATAATATTGAATTGTAATATGCAAAGTTAATTTGTTTATTACATTGTAAATATTAATTATTAGAAAAATGCGAATACTCCAAATTCATAATGAATATCTTAAAAACATGAGTAAGAATTGGTTTCATTAATAACAGTTTAATTATAACTATTATTAATAAATAAATAATTAATAATTTATTTAAACATTAAGTTGTATATAGAAAGAAAGCCTTAATTTTGTACATAATAATAACAGCTTTAGAATTTATAAATCTTAATTAATTAATCCAGTAACTGCATTATAAGATTATAGAAAACACCCTTACAAATATGAAAATTTATTATAATTCAAATGTTATTAACTAATTTGAGTAGTTCTTGTTAGAAATTACTTCTAAAATTGATAAGCTATTAAGTTATGTAAAATTTTAGTATTGTTTTATTGTAAATATTGTAAGATTACATTAATTAACTTTATTAGTTAATAACTTTTGACGATACTATTTATGATAATTATAAATCATACTAAAACGATCAGTACCTTAATTTGTAAAGTTTACATGTTTTCAAAGTTTTGTATTAATGTTTATTCACTTGTAAATTTAGAAAATATATTTCTCAAAAATTGCGAATAATCGCAATAATAATTCTCGAAGATTCGAAGAGAACTTCCCTGCGAAAATAGGCGGGAAAATCTGTGTATAAATACGCTGATTGTTGCATAGGCTAGCATTCACTTCAACCCTTGCAAAGTGAGCGCATGAGATTGAATAAACTTGGCTAATACCTAAGTTATTTCTCTTATTGTAATTAACTGAGAAAATCCTCTCCTTTCCTATTATAATTCATGCTTGACTTATAGAACACTTCGCGCTATAAGAAACTTGGGCTGAATTATTTCCTTTATAAGAAAGACTTTAGCTCTGCTTATGGGACAATTCGTACCGTAAGAAACTAGGGCAAAGTCTGTCTTTTCCTTGAGAATTTTACTTACATACATATATACTTCAATTGTTCATTTATTTCATTTTAATAATTAGAGTAAATTTGAAAGAAATGAATTCTTACTCATTAACGCGACAAGACCACGAGAGTACGAGCTATTAAATAAATTACAAGTGATACGAACATCACAAGTTTATTGCTAAAAATGGCAGGCCGAACCGAACAGCGAATTTGCATAAAATTTTGCTTTAATTTTGGTGAAAGTTGTGTCGGAACTAATGTAATGTTGCAAAAGGCCTTTAACAATCTTGACAGTGAAAACTTCCATCAGAACCACGGCTGTAAAAAGCCCGTTAAAGTCGAAGCAATATCAAGTCAATGTTAGTTGTTTTTTTTCGATTATAAGAGCATTATGCACCAGGAATATGCTCCTACAAGCCAGATAATCAACAAAGAGTACTACGTTAAAGTATTGTAAATATTGCGTTATGCCGTTAGGAGAAAACAATCATAACTTTGAGAAACCAGTGGTTGGCTTCTTCATGACGAAAATGCTCCAGTGCACTCATCAAATCTTATGCATCAGTATTTATTAAAACACAGTGTTGCGTAGGTCAGTCAGCCTCCAATACAGACCTGAAATAGCTCCCTGTGACTTTTGGCTGTTTCCTCGATTGAAAATGCCATTTTAAATGGCTTAACATTGGTCTGACGATAAAGAGACTGTTGAAACTAATGTGACAAATACACTAATTATAAGTGATACATACATCACACCTGGGTAGAGCGAGTTTAACCGACTGATTTTCTTTAAAAAGTTGATACCACAATCACAGATGGGTTGAGCAATTTCAGCATTGATGTACCTTATACCTACACACCCTCACAACCCCCAGAAACCATCCCTTCCAACCCCCAAGCAGGCTAACTTACCTACCACTGGGTAGACCGAGTTTAGCCGACTGATTTTCTTTAAAAAATTGATACCACAATCACAGATGGGTTGAGCAATCTCAGCACTGATGTACCTTATACCTACACACCCTCACAACCCCGAAAAACCACCCCTATCAAATCCTTAGCAGACTAACCTACTTAACTCTGGGTAGAGGGAGTTCAATCGACTTCTTAAATTCTTTAAACTCTATACAGACAATTAAACGCACAAGATTCTGATTCAATTTTTCAATTTTTTATATCATGAAAATAGGGACATAAAAATTTTTTTTCCTTTTTATCTCTTATAACTGTAAATCAATTAATTTCTGACCGAGCAGTCAAATCTAAAACTATTTTAAATAAATGTTTCGATTGGATCAATGGCAATTTTACATAATTCCAACTGTGCCGTAATGTGATATGACCCTTTCTGGTGTAGTTACCCTACCCACCCCCTTGAATTTGAAAACGAGTAACAAATCCTTATTCGAAGATATTATTGAACATTTTTCTTTAGATTAAGCCTTGTAAGAGTTTCTATTATAGAGTCATATAAAATCTCATTTTTTCAGTAACTTTATACTAACGTAAATTGAGGTGTATTAAAACATAAAATACTCAGAGAACGAAATGATTATAAATTTATTTTGTGCCTTTCAAAGTTTTTTCATTATTATTCTTCATCACCTAATTCTTGCTTAACTTTGTTAAAGTCAAACTCTTCTCCAGTTGCTCGTTTAAAGATATTAAGCACATCTAAACAAGTTGTTTCGAAATGAGTAGTAGCATCGTAACTGGTGGAAATAAAAAGTTGATTTGTGGTTCCATCATCTAGAGGTTGCAAATAATCTGAAATGTATATAAATTTTTGTTTAATGGATCCTAGTAAGTCTAGTCCAGGTTTTATTTCTATTTCAGGATTAGTCGTTTCTACAGTTGTCGAGACCATGGCAATGAACCATCCTTTTGCTGCCACTTGGTGTGTATATGAAATGAGAGAAACGTAAATATCTGAACTACGATTAACCTGTTAAGAAAAATTATTTTTATTAGCGATTCATTAAAAAATAATTGTACTTGTATAGTATCATACATATAGCTTTTAAACCTAGTAGTTATAAAATCAAACCACCTTTGTTAAACGCTTTTTTTACAAAATAGATTTATTAATTGTGCTAAAAAATGTCATTCTTCAATAAGAATGATAAGAGTAATTTATTATTATTCTAAATAAAGAAATACATATATCAGACTGAAAAAGTAAATAATTGTTTAATTCTTTCATTGAAATAGCAATATATTTAAGGGAATAGTGTTGAACACATTATCATACGATTCTTTAATTCCGTTTTGCCTTAAAAAAATTGCACAACAAATTAAAATTCAGGACTATTAATAAAAAAATGGATATTTTCTGCTATCGGTCACGAAAAATATGCTGTTGACAGTGTAGATGATGTAGTAGGCGAAAATCAATTTTATTAATATTATTTTATCTTACTATTTAGTGTTTGTTTAATCAACGCCTTTTCTTCTATAATAATCTATAGGGGTTGAGCTAAGGTAATTGGAGTTCAAGGGTCTAGGCTTATGTAGTCACAGATTACAAAGAAATTTTGATTACAAAGACGGTTGAGCTGTTTTAATGTTATTGCAAAACTGCTAAAGTACTTAAATCGAATTGATGATATCTCGACGAAAAAAAAAGGAAACTCTAATCTGATAAATGGGGTTTCATTGACAAAAGTATTGTTTTATCATAACACGACATATTTTTGGAAAAAAAATTTATTTAAAGTATTACTTAACCACGAGCATAAATGCATGTTTTATTATATTTACATCTGAATGTAACGGCGGGCAATTTTTTTTCTCCTTCCTCTTTCTCCTTCGAACTGTTCAAAGTTGAGAATAAGAAATGAGATTCTTTATCTTGTAAGAAAACGAAGTTAAAAATCCTCGCTTGCAAAATATTTCTGAGAGTTTTCTATCTTGTTATCTCTCTTGCTTCTTAGCCTTCCGCCTGGGCCTGAAAGCATTAAAACACAATCTGTTTCCCGTTTACAAAAACTTTCCTTTTTTTTGTAAGCATGACGAACGTGAAACTATTTTTGTCAAAAAACATGTTTCAAAATACAATTGTAAAAACTAATAGTGCAATATTAAAATTGGCTAAATTACTCTTTACAACTTATACTAACTATATTACTTTAAACTCTGCCCTGTATTTTCTCGTTAAATAAATAGAAATAATCTATAGTTTAAACCAAACATTTGAACTTGAAAAGAAACTGCATTGAACTATAATAAGACCTTTTTATACTTAAAATCTCAACATATAGACACACACACACACACACACGCCTTTTCATGTACTTTCATGTATAATGTATATATTTTTAAGTAAAATAGTTATATTAATATAATGTTTAAATATCAATCGAAATGACATAGTTTAGACAAATGAACTCTATTAAAATAAATTTTGCATAGTTAAATAATGTAAAAGCTTTGCGCGTCTTGTTATTAACAAAGACATAACGAAATATAAGAAAACAATACTCGAAGAGCCATCTCTCGTCGAACAGGCCCAGGTTTACGAGCTTATCTTGGACAAGAATATCGAAAGACCAATCCGAAAAATTGGAACTAATTTCATAGTCTCCTGCAGCATGAGCCCTAAGAAGGGATTTTACTTCTACCACCTTCCAAGGGTTTAAAAGGCCGTGCACGCCCCTGGAAGAGGGTACTAGGAAACTCACTCTGGAGCTCCACTACCAAGCAGCCAACAGTCCTCAACCGTAAAGAAACTAAGAAGCCGAGCATCAGAAAGAGGACCTAGCCAATTTTTCAAAGTATAAAAAAAAACACAAATACACTAAGCTTATAAAAACGTGAAAATCGAGTCAGTGATAAAGAAAAAAATCAAAAGTTGGTAACTGTCTTAAATAATTTCTAGTTCTCCTCTAAACACTATCTTTTTCAATTAGATATCCGCTAATTCTGATTTCAGGATTCTAGAGAATTTTCTATTAGTTTCATATACAGGGTATCCCATTTTAAAGGAACCACCCCGAAATTTTCGACGGTTGGCGTTGTACAAAAAAGTTGTTCTGACAACAGTTGTTTGGGACAATGGGGGCAACCTTTCTGTGAAATCCGATTTGACTTTGAGAATTATTTTAAAGGTCATTTGAAGGTCAAAGTCATTTTTTGAATAAGAACCCATATTTTTGATCCCGGATTCGAAAAGAGCGGAAAATTCTACGTTTAGATAACGTATTATGTGTGGGGTTCGGTTAACCCCCCTCCCCTCGCCTAAGGTCATGTAGGGGTCAAATTTATGATTTTCTTCATCTATGCACAGGGATGATCGGGCAAGGGTAAGGTTAATTGTAATAATCCAATAACTCCAATACCCAATAACTCGATAACCCCAATATATAACCCGATAACCCCAATAATTCAATAACCCCAATATCCCAAAAAAATTGTAGGGTCAAACAACAGTGACCTTTAGCTTAAACTTTAGGTTGATTTTCAAAGTCGACTTCATGTATTCAAAGCCTTCATGAGAAGTGTCATTTTCCATTTTGTGGGATAACATGTTATTTCCATTCTTTTTTCTGTTGTAATTCCGGACAAGCCTACAAAGTTTCAACTAAATTGTTTAATAACACTTTTTTAGTATTGTTTATGACAATAGTGATTCGCGAACAGTCCTCAGGATAGTTCAAGTGTAATTTTCTTAGTCGACTTAAAAGGACGGAATATGCCGGATTATTCAAGAAACGAAATTGTTGATATTCTGTTGTCTCTGGGGGCATGTCAAGGCCGATATCGTGCTGCGGCAAGGTATTGCCGCCAAAATTACCCAGGGAGGCTTCACTACCCGAACCACGTGAGAATCCGAATCATCGAGCAAAGAGAGAGACGTCGACCCCGGATACGCAGAAATCTTCGTCGCATTATGATGTCGAACAACGATGATCCATGAATTCTCGTCGTTTTAGCAATGGTTGATTTGGATCATCATATCTCGTTGCGTGAAATTCAGAGACGTACTGGAATCCCAAGATCAACAGCCGCTAGATTTTTGCGGCTGTACAGATTTCATCCGTATCACAAAACTTTGACTCAAGCTTTGATGCCAGATGATCTCCGCCGCAGACTCGAATTCTGCAATTGGGCACAAGCAAGGATTCGTGAAGATACTGAATTTTTCAGATACGTCATGTTTTCGGACGAAGCTACATTTCGTGGTAATGGGCAACGCAATCGCCATAACAATCATTATTGGTCTATCCAGAACCCTCATTGGGTACGTCATGTTGATAATCAGCATAGATGGAGCCTCGTAGTTTGGTGCGGTATAATAAATGGTTATCTGATAGGACCTTATTTTTTCGATGGGAATGTCAACGGCGCAGCATATCTTGATTTCCTGCAGAAAGAATTACCAGAATTATTGGAAGATGTGGACTTGGAAACCAGAAGACGATTATGGCTTCAACAGGATGGTGCACCGTGTCATCGCTCACTAATGGTTCGTCACTTCTTGAACCAACGATACCGAAGACGATGGATAGGCATTGGTAGTGACATTACTGAGTGGTGTTCAAGATCACCAGATCTGACAATTCCAGATTTCTTTTTATGGGGCTATTTGAAAAATGTTGTTTATGCACAACAACCAACAACACGGCAAGATATGATGCAACGCATCATACAAGCTTGCAGAGCTATTCCGCGTCACGTTTTGATGTCCACAGTTGAAAATTTTGAACGTAGAATTCAACACTGCATAAATTTGAACGGAGGTATTTTTGAACATCTTATGAGATAAATGTTTGTGTTACAATCTTGACCATAACTCTATCTGTAGTCAACGTTTTGTCTTGATCGGCTGAGCATTCCCACCTTGCCTTCATTAGCTGGGTAATCAATACCTTGCCTTCATTGGCTGGGTAATCAATACCTTGCCTTCACTGGCTGGGTAATCAATACTTTGTCTTCAGTGGCCGGGTGATCGATACCTTGCCTTCACTGGCTGGGTAATCAATACCTTGCCTTCATTGGCTGGGTAATCGACACTTTACCTTCACTGCCTGAGTAATCAATACCTTGCCTTCATTGGCTGGGTAATCAATACCTTATTAACCTTACCCTGGCCCCGGTGGGATGGGGGGGGGGGGGTGAACCGCTCCCCCAACATAATACTTTATCTAAACGTAAAATTTCCCGCTCTTTTTGAATCCGGGATAAAAAATGGGGGTCCTTATTCAAAATATCTCTTGGTTATTGGGTTATTGGGGTTATCGAGTTATTGGGTATTGGAGTTATTGGATTATTACAATTACCCTTACCCTTGCCCGATCATCCCTGTGCATAGATGAAGAAAATCATAAATTTGACCCCTACATGACCTTAGGCGAGGGGAGGGGGGTTAACCGAACCCCACACATAATACGTTATCTAAACGTAGAATTTTCCGCTCTTTTCGAATCCGGGATCAAAAATATGGGTTCTTATTCAAAAAATGACTTTGACCTTCAAATGACCTTTAAAATAATTCTCAAAGTCAAATCGGATTTCACAGAAAGGTTGCCCCCATTGTCCCAAACAACTGTTCTCTGAACAATTTTTTTGTACAACGCCAACCGTCGAAAATTTCGGGGTGGTTCCTTTAAAATGGGATACCCTGTATATAATTATTTTTTGTTTTTGGGATGCAGAATAACTAATCAAGGATATGGTCCCGAATTTTTATAATAAAGATTAATAATCCAAAGTAGTGAATAAAAATTTGGAAAATTCTATGAATAGAATATATTAATTACATATGAATTTAATATTTACTACCTGTATAATGCAATAATTTTTTACTTATGATTCAGCAAAGCAATTTTTCTTCACATTGATGCACAAAGTCACAATGTATGTTGTGCAAAAGTATTGTGAACGAACTCAATTGTTTTTAATACTACAAAGTTCACAATTTCTTCAGAAGAGTCCTTCATACTCTCG